AAATTAATATTAACTTGGTATCATATATATATATATATATATATATATATATAAAGGTTTAATACATCATTTGGTCCATGAACTTTCTAGGATTTTTCAATTATGTCTATAAATTTTTAAAAAAAATTGTGATTAAATACTTAATCTTTCTATTTTTCTAATTTAGTATGTGAGAGATTAGAAATTTATTTACAATTCATGAAATTTCACAAAACATTCTTATACAAATAAATGATGATATAAAATAATAATATAATATAATTGTTTAAGTATACAAATATTTTTGTAAAATTTCACTATTTATAAATAAATTTCTAATTATAGAGATTAAATTACAAAAATATAAAATAGATGAAGGACTTAATTATAATTTTTTAATTTAAAAATTTAATTGAAAGTTTGAAAAAAAATCAAGGACCAAATGTATTAGACATATTTATAATTATCCTTAAATAAACCCTAAAATGGTCCGACCGAATCACTTTAAACATTGTTACTTTTATATAGGAAATAATGAGAGTCAATCACCTATAACTGCGAGTGTAAATTTTTTTTACACTAACAATTAATTATATCTTTTAATTGTGTCATGTCACTGTAAACACATTTACTTTTAACAATGACATAGCACAATTAAAAGATATAATTGGTTGCCAGTATAAAAAAACTTTACACTAGCAGTATATAAGTAATTAACTCAAATAATAATATGCAATGAGAGATGTCAATTTATTATGTGGTTCAATAGAGAATCGTAGTTTTTTTCTTTAAAAGAAAAAATTCACCAATGACTCATTTTTTAGTTCAGAAAACACAATCATCATCTTCCACACACCTTCATTCCATAGTCCTCATTTCAATTAGTCACCTAAATCTTCTCGTACAATAATTCTATGGATTTTTTTAATCCTTGTGAGAGTTTTTTACAAATTATTTATGTAAATGAGATTGTTTTGAAATATATTATATCTTTGAAGTTGTTTTACAAAGTGTCACTATAACCCATAATGTCACTTGTGACAACTGACAATTTTTTTTTCTAGCCATTAAGCTTAAGTCATTGCAACTTATAGGGATCCAAAATGAGTCACTGTAGCGTATAACATGGGTTGACTTCATTAAAGATTGTTATAACCTATAGCGACTTAGTTATATATATATATATATATTTGTGTGTCACTGTGGGACATAGTTACATTAATTTTTTTTGTGTCATTGTGAGTCATAGCTACAATTTTTTTTTGTGTGTTGTTGTGGGTCACAGCTATACTATTTGTTTTTGTGTCGTTGTGACCCATAACTCCCAAAAAATATTTTTTTGACCATTTAGGTCATGTGACGCATTCTGATTGACAAAATGTATGGTGAAAAAAAATTAAATCAAGGTTGTTATGCAATCATAATGACTCCCCCTCCCAATTTATTTTTTTACTATTAGGGTTACATGGTGTATTTTGATTGGTTGGTAGAATGTGTGATAAAAAAAAGTTAAACCAAGGTCATTATTGTCTACAACGACCCAAAAAAAAATTTAATGGGAACGCTGTAATCCACAACGACCCCCTCTAAAAGTAAAAAATAAAAAATTATTTAATAAGAATGCTATAATCCATAACAATATATATTGGCTCTAATTGAAATCACTATAATCACAACAAATTTTGTTGAGTAACAAAAATGTCGTGTTACTTTTACTATTATAGTCTACATCAACACTATTTAAAATAGTCCTTAATGCATAATATATTTAAAAATAGTTCTATTTGCATAAAATTTGTAAAAAAGTTTCACAAGAATTAAAAAGTCCAATCTTATACACACAATATATTAACTATATAATTAATAATAATATTTACGCAATACATAGTGCAAATGAATTAGCACAATATTTTATAAACTTAATCAATGTTTTTGTTTACAATGATTGTATTAATCTTCAACATATAAAATATTATGTACAAGCACTTAAAAACAGTACCTCTAATATTTCACAAGATTGGATGAGGATCCAATTTTGATTTCTTTATTAAAAAATTTAAAGGAAATTGTATCTCACTCCTTAAAATCGACTTAATAGTAGCCTCTCTTTTTTTTTTTTTTTTGCGTTATTGTCACAATCTTACGTTTAAATATTTGTACTGCTATTTTTAAAAAAAACTTCACTGTTTTGGTTTTGAACTATCGATATGATTCTACTGCCTATATATATATATATATAT